TTAAACCATTATCTTTGCCTTTATTTTTATTCATAATTTGGCTTTCCACTTGATTTTCGCTTTAAGTAACATCAACTTTCATCCTTAACTCTTTAGAGTTTAAAGACGCCTTGAAATTCTTATACGTGAAGGTCTCTTGATCATATAACATAACATCTACAAAGGTTTCATATGATGGAGCAAAGAATACAAAAGAATTAGGGCTTAATCCTCATCATCAATTTTAACATCAATATTCTTTAAATCAAAAATAACTTTATTAAATTCATCAATATGAGTATTAACAGACGTATTTTGATACATCTTGAAAGAATACAATTATCACTTCATATAAAGTCAATTCTTTAGAGACTTGGTTCCATAAATGTTGACAAGTTTAAGCCACATTGTAGCAGCAGAGTATTTATTTATAACTTCTCTTAGCACTTCATCAGATAGAACTAGTAGAATAGTACCATATGTTTTCACTAAAAGATCATTTTTCTCATCATTAGACAAATTCATGAGAAGATGGTCTTTCCCCTTTAGTGCCTTCAATAATCTTTGTTGCACTAGCGGCGTTCGCATTTTAGCATGCCACATACTGAAATTGTTTCTTCCATTAAGCTTCTCAATTTCATACTTGGTGGATGAAGTTGTCATTGTGAAAGTCAAATTGACTTCAGATCTGGGAGTTCTGATATCAATTTATTATGAAAATAATGAAATAATTTAAAAAAATCACTTAAGATCTTACACAATTAATAGAATAAAGAAGGGAATCAAATATGCTCACAAAAACACCAAAAAGTTGTTTGATTCGATCTTTCGATGACCTATGTCTACAAGCACAATGACAAAGAAAAATTCACTACAAAGAAATCAAGAGATTACAAGATTAATCTCAAACTTACAATTCTTATCCCTTTGATAACTTTATGTTGTTGAGTTATTTTGTCTCATTTTTAGTATTAAATTGGCTAAGTGCTTGAGATATAGTTTAGGAATTAGATATTTTTAGCTATTTGTCTTAGTTTAATAAATCATGTTGGATTGATTTAATTTAAATTATTTTATTTTAGTTTGACAATAATTTGCTTTTAGTTTAGTTAGTTTTGATTTAAGTTTATACTTTTGTAGGTTTGTAATTAAAACGGCTTCAATTGGTGAAGAAAATTGCGAAAAAGATTCATACTTCTCTCATATATATTTTAGTATTTTGAGCATAACTCTCATTCTAAAAATTCAATTGATGTGATTTTTAATCCAATAAAAAGCTAAGAGATATAGCTACAACTTTTATATTTACTAGTTTCCCAGTTCAGCTTGACAGAAGGAGAGAATTGTATCACAAGTTGAAGTAGTGTAGTAGAGAAAAGAAAAGAAGACAGAACCTTGGGTGCTGCGGCCATGGATGCATGGGCCCCATGGTGCTATGAAGAAGAGGGGTGCATGAGCACCAAATAGAAAGCTCAATGTCGTGGTGCTAAGGGAGTGGCGCCACAGCACTGACAAAATATCTTGAACATTCTGATTTCGGATTTAACTCAAATTAGGTTTTTTTGGAGCTTATTTAAAGACATTTTTAAAGCAATTGAAAGGCACATTTAAACTAAAGGCTTTCTAAAGAAAAAGTAGCCATCAAGCAAGCAAGAAAATAAGGAAAAACTTTTGAAGATTGAAAACTTGACAAATCTTAGTTTTCTTTTCTTCTTCTATTTTTATACTTTTCTTGTTTTGTGTTGATGATTAAACTTTTTTAGATGATGTTTTTATTAGTTATGAGGAACTAATTTCTTATCTAGAATTGCAATTAAACCCAACATGTAGTTTAAATTTTTAATACTCTTTTTTGCTCATGATTGATACTGTTTGAGTTGTTTATTTTAGTCATGTGATTAATGCATCTAATTATTTGACCACCAATTAGATAGATAGGATAACTTAAACAAAACTAGAAAAGGGAGTTTAGTATAGGCCTTGGATGAAATAGCTTATGTTCAATTTCAATTGCATAAGATGATTGATTTGTTTCGCATCTAAGGTGAAAATACACTTACATGTCATATGTAGCCATAATTAGAATCTAAGCTTAATGAGTTTTTCTTAATTGCAATTTGCATAGAAATATAATAGATTGGTTAAGAGAGATATTTTTATGAGAACATCGAAAGAGACTTATAAATACATTAGAATTGTAGGTTAATAACTCAACTGTCTAGTGAGTAGAGAGAGTAGAAAAGATTCAAATGAAATGCTGAAGGATATTATGGTTCTAAGCTTTTGTTTGATTGACTTTATATAGTTAATTTGTGACAACATCATTAGTTTTAGTTGTTTTAGTTTTCAGTAGTTTTAAAAAATTGGTTGTTTGAATAAGATTCAAATATGTTAATTTTAGTAGTTAACAAAAGATTTTGGTGCAATTTCTCCTGAAAATGATGCTCAACTTTTCATTATATTATCTATTAATGATACATGCACTTGCGTGGTAAATTCAACAACACTCCTTCTCCCAAATCTCTTCTTCTAAAGCTAAATGCTTACTAAACTCTCTCTTAATTAATAACATTCTTTAGTTCCATATAATATAGGATTAAAAACAAGATTCTTATTCTAATTTAATGGCAATTTCTACTAGTTCATCTCATCCATGTGCAAATTCAAATTTAATTACTTGAAGGTATTCAACGATTGTTGCATAAGGAATGGGACGTGAAAATTTCCCACATCTATAGAGGAGGGAATAAGGTTGTTGACTATTTAGTTAGCATAAGCTTCAACTTAGATGCTAGTTTATACTTCTTTGATTCTCTATCTAGGGAAATTAGAGGTATCTTATTTAATGGCATGTTGCGAATCTGTTTTCGAAATAAAATATCTTCCTTTCAACAAAAGAAAAAAATTCAATATCCTAATCTAATTAGGATTCAAAATCATCTCAACTATTGATTGTTGACACTCCAAAGACAAACTTGAACCACAGACAATATGAAAGAAGATTGACAATACAACACGAAATATCCGTGAATCCAAAATTATTATTGAACTTAAAAGGCAGTAGCTCCATCGAAAGAGACTACTGAAAACCTCCAGCTCATAAATTAGGTCGATGTACTTATGAGATTGATCTAGCTAGGTAAACCATAAACAAATTGAAAAACCTCAGTGGTTTAATCTACAAAGACATTTACAAGTCTGGCAAGTCTAGTTAATTATAAAGAATAATATTTAAACAGATTACTTAATCTATAGTGTGTCACATAGCTCAATATTCGGGGAAAAAAAATATTATTATTAAGTATAGTCGGGCAAGTCTAATTAATATTACGTATAACTAAACAGATTCCCTTTTTAGTTGGTGTTAGTTGATTTTTTTTGTAAGCAGTTTGTTTCTGTCATTATTTGTGTCTGCTTAAGATTTGGTTAGTCTTGTGTTGTACTGCTTGTGGCTTTGGTCTGGTCCTTGTCATGTAGTTGCTAGCTCCTTTAGTAGAGGACTTCATGAGTCGGATTATTGGTTGAGGAATATTATATATATTTTAAATATATTAAAATTATGAAAATAAAAATATTATTATATTATTTTAATAATAAAATAATTGTTAAATAGACAGATCAAATCAATTTCGGGCTAAGCTTAAGAAAATAAAGTCTGGTAGGCCCAACTTGATTGATGGACACCTTTATTATTAAACCTAGCATGAGGTTTTTCAAATGTTTATTATGTATTTTTTTTTTTTTTGCTCCATCATTTATTATTATTATTATGTATATTTATCTCATTTATTAATAAAATTTTTCATCTTTTTAAAAGAAATATATTTGGGGGAAAAAAATCTGATGTGTTTACATCAATATAAATTCCTTTTCATCTTTGAAGGACCTACCTAATTTTTCTTTTTAGCAGCATCAAGAATCGCTGATAAAGTGGGATATGAGAACCTTAATATTGGTCTTGATTCTATATAAATGGCAATTTTCAGTGCATAATGGTTGACTTACACGAAATATGATTATGCTTTGCCTACTCATAGCTTTGATTCTGGACACAAAACCCCTGACCAAAATCGTGAAGCCAATAGTTCCTCCAACTGGACCTCCATGTTTTCGAGGGCTCCTCCACCAAGTATCTTCTCTTTACTGTTAGCTGATGTATTAGGCATATCTTGGTCCTGACTTATGTAATTTGAGTTTTATTGAATAAATGCCTCCTCCATTTCAAAAATAAAAATAAAAATGGGCAATCCTGGATGCAGAATAGTTGATGAGTAGATTTTTTGTTGTTTTTTGATTTATTTGCAAAGATGCTTTGCTTCAGCTTCAAGACATATCTTGCTGTGTACACCAGAGTCACCGCCTGATACTATCCTAACTTGGATTGTGTTTCAGATGTGTTTATTTCTCTACAAAACTATACACACGCTTTCACTGTAAGAAAACCACCAAGCAAAAAGAGTAAGCATAACTCATTAATCAAACGAGAGATGCCTGGTTTTTTATTTTTTTCCCAATATTTCATTTTTTATATTGGATTTTGCTGTCATGGGTGCAATTGGTATCAATGGCATTTTGCAATTTGCAGTAAGGAATATAATTGGCCAGCAAAAGCCCAATATTGTTGTCCCCATGCAGAATGAGACTGTATATGCATCTTTTTTGTTTTTAGTAATTAAAAATCTCTCATTCGCATGACTTAATTCGAATTCAACATCAATAATGGTATAACTTTTGTGTCTCCAACAAAACATGCGTTGGATTGGAATTAATAATGTATTCTCATTCACCATTGGATGTAAACTTTAATCCCGAAAGCCATGCATATACTTGCATCTAATCCTTTGCTGATACGAAGGCTGTGATGCAATTAAGTGATCCATCATTTTTACATATGGGAAATAATAAGTAGTCAATGTCAATCTTCCAAAGAAATGTTCTCATACTCCTTTTCTTTTGGCCACTTTCTCTTTCTTTCTTTCGTCCTTTTCCTTCCCTCTCTAATGTGCATTGCATGGAAAAAGCAATTCGAAGAATATTAAGCCGAATAACTTGAGGAGACTAAGACTGGAGTTACTCTAGTGTTTTAAGTCAACCACTCATCCTGAAGATAAGTTTGAAGATTTCTTCAAAGCACAGGGTTAAAGGAAACGCTTTACAGTATGGCAAAACTAGCACAATGGACAACAGGAAAGCAAGTAAAATTTATTGAGCACACAGTAACAGAAATCAGCAAGAACCCTACTTAACACTGATCACTCGCTTAGGCTTACAAGTCTTTGCTGGTTATAACTCTTATTTTAAGTCAGGTCGTTGAATTGGCTTTATTGTTGTGAACTTTTATTTCTGTTTCTTGGAAAGGAATTTTTCCCTCAGTTCGACAACGTCAATGTCGCCAAAATGATTCTCTGGAATCCAGTTGCCGGTCTTGGGATCTCTCATCCAGAACGTTTCCTTCTGCTCTGCCAAAACTTCTGTCCTCAAATCTGTTGCATTCCTCATAACTGATGCCACTGCTTGCACTTTCATGTTCTCGGCTGCGACAGCATATGATCTTCTACTACAACACGAAAACAACAGAAACAAAACAAAGATCATCAATCTCATGATCGTTCATCATATCAAAAACCATAAAACCCAAAGATCCAAAGAACTTCACATGTAAATTACCCTAACAAAAATGGTAAGAAACCAAGGATAATAAACAAACAAAAAAAGAAAAGAAAGTATATATACAATAAAGAAATTAACCTAAGGAGCTGAAAGCTCTTGACGGAAAGCTGAGCCATGTTTTGGTTTAGAAAAGCATATGAATGGAGGTTGAGAGAGGGAGGAAAATTAGAAATACTAGGTGTTTAAATTTCTGTGGAGTCTGAAGGCAGAAGCGGCTTATTTATAAGTGTGCCTACCTTGTAAAAAGTTGTTGTAATGTAGAGTTCCAGATTATTTGAGACTTCTTTGCATAGAAAGACACGTAATGTGGAGAATCCGATAGCGTTTCGGAATTCAACTAATCTAAAATCACGTGAGAATCTGGAATTGAAGCCTTCTTCCCTTTTTTTTTTCTCACTGGTTAATAACTAAATGATATACTTTAATTACTTACACGCTAGGATGTTTTCCACGTGAAAAAGGCTATCAACTCTTTACCCGCCCCCGTCTCTGTTTACTTAAATTTGACCAACGTGAACTGGAATCTTGTGGGGAACAAAAAATAAAAAAGTTTGTTCAAGTTTACATTCACATTTCACGCATACAAGCCAATCCAGTGGAGACATTTTTCTGGGTTGATTGTTTGCCAAGCTTTCAAGATCTCTCTCTTGTGTCCAATTTGTGTGTACGTGGAGATGCAAAGTAAAATATATATTATTTGGTATAAAGTCCAATCCACTTATATATGACCAGAAATCACTTTCAAAGCATTGAATACAAAATTGTCACTTAAGGTATATATAAAGCTGTCTACATATAACCCTAACAAGCAAGCATTGGCAAGCTTCATCTGCGAAGTTTAAACAAAATTACATTTAAGCCTCCTCGCTATAAATATAGCTGAATAAGCTCATCACTAACCACAGAAGGAGTAAGAACACCTAAATCTGTAAAGAGTAGAGTAAGATATTGAGGAGGAGTGTAATCTCGAGCAGATGTCTCAACCTCAACCTTGGATGGGATTGGTACCCCAAAATCAATGGAGCGTAAGGCTGGGCCCATATCCTTTTGGTCCAACGGATAAAGACGTGCAAACTGCAAAGAAAAACATCATTAAGTAACTACGCCAGTCGCTAGTCTCAACTTCTATTCTAATGTTTTCTTTCTTAGGTTTGTGTATATATAGCATAATTTCCTTGTTCAGATACCTCTGAAAAGAGAAAAAGAAAAGTTGCTGTAATTACCTTGTAGCTTTCAGCAGCCACATAAACAGGTTTGTTCATGCTATGTGCCACTAATGCAATCTGGTATGTCCCCATCATATTTATGATACCCCCACTTTCAACTACTCCATCAGCCCCAACAAATACCATGTCCACCTCATCCATAGTATATGCCACAGCAGAGTCTATTAGAAGCTTTACAGGAACATCAAGCTTGGCCAGCTCATTAGATAATCGTAATCCTGTTCTGTCTGGCCTTCCTTCTGTATTAAAAGAAAATGAAAAGGTAAGATGCACTCTGTCATAAACACACATCTGACATGAATTAAAAAATTTAGTCACTTGTCAGAAATAGAACATATGCATAAAATTGAAAAGGACTAGACTCCTTATTTGATGACAGAACATTGATTTAGACCAGTTAAGAAATACAAATATCAATGCAGATGACAAGACAGTTAGAAAGTAGAACCTGTGCAGAAAACTCGAAAGAGTTTCTTGTTTTGCGCTGCTGTTTTCAATAATTCTAGAACAACTCTGGAGAAACCATGTACCAAAATGGTACAACCATCAAATATGAAATCTTGACTAAGCATTGCAATAATCCTGCGTGCCTGCAATGTTTGGCAATAATGTCTTTCAAATGGAGATGCTTGAAATATTACCGTAAAATTAGCGTTAGTTAAGCAGTTACTTTAAAAGCCACAATTATCCAAAATACCTTACAAGATATTTCCCCAAACTTCTCTGCACGTTCAATCAGGCGAGACTTCGCTGAATTAAAATCCTCATACTCTAAAGCTGACGTTCTGGTTACATATCGCATGAAGAGATCACAACCTGCTGTCAAAGAGATAGAGGTTGTGTCCCACGACTGGAAAGCAAACATATGCTTAAGGGTAAGCCAAATCAGAAAGCGAAGCAACATTACTTTACAAACAGCAAACTAACATATAAAGAGTGGATAGCAATTCATTTTTCTTGAAGGATTTCATCAGATGCAAACCAACCATAACACAGCATTGACTAGGATAAGCCCTCTGATTTCCACATCTCTATAAACAGAATTCCTCACCCAAAGTATTCCAATAAAAAATGTCCTATTCCTACCAAATTCACATCGAATGAATCTAACATTAGTGCCTCGACATTTTCATTATAAAAAATCTTATGCCATTAAAGCGCTTCACTTCCTTTTATTACAATCACATTCAATTTTAGAAAAGAGGGTGAGACTTCATATTGTTAAAATAGAACGTGCAACTTACAAATATCTGAGGGCATGCCATATAACATAAGGATAACTCATAAAAATAAGAGTATTGTCATTACATATGGACAAAAGTATCCCAATAGATTTACCATGCCACCCCAATCCTTTCCTTCAACACCTTTTATCATCATGCTAAACACCTAATAAGTCATCCTTTAACCTTTTTATTAGCAATATCATTTCTCTTAAACAAGCAAATGTTAAAGATCTGCAAATAGCATAAGAATTGCCTCCAGAGCACCATCCATTTACTTGGTACATGCACATTCTTACAACCAAAAAGCCTCACATATATCAGAACACTCCAAAGTACTAATGCATATTGCCAATGTTTACAATCACAGAGAGCTAAGCAGTTCCAATGGCTTTATATCACAGAAATCAGAGCAGCTTAGACAATTGTAACCGGGGTGCCAATACTAGTCAATGTCCATGCAAAACTAAGAAAAACTTTAAAGCAATACAAAAAATGCAGTATTATTAGGCCTTCATAGTCATAGAACCCAATAATACGGGCATTAGCATTACCATTTAATAGCCTTGCAAAACTGAGACTGCAACGAAATTGTGGTTCTGGGAAATTTTGGTTTCATAGCAATGTAGCAAACACTAGACATAGAAAACTAAAAAAGCACATCTTCTGCCTTTTTATAGCAATGATGAGCAAATGCAATCAGCCAGCTTTCCTACACAGTAACACAGAAAGCCTAATTGAAACTCTCATATCTTTTAGCTCAAAAACTTTCATGTGCCAGTGGATAAATTAATGTTTACTGTACCTCCACGAGGAACATAAATATACATATATTTCTCTAAAGATCCTAATGTACACATTGAAAATGAACTAAAATTTGCCACTAAAAGATTAATAAAATTATGGTAAAACCGTTGTAATTTAAATTATTTAAACGAGGAAAATTAAACTAAATTTTACTATCTCACTAAGCATCACAATATAATATATAGGTCATAATCGAAAGAATAAAAATTCACTAACTTAAAAAAGAAAGCATTTTACTAATTTAAAATAAAAACCAAAAGCCTCACTTTAAGCGAATCAGAAGCCTTTTTAAGCTCAATTTCAAGCTCCATCATGGTAGTAGCTTGGCTAGCCCTAATAACCGCCGCGAGGGCGAAAATAGCCGCGACGGCCTCCGCCAAATCCGGCTGCTTCCTCCAGCTATTGAACTCATCAATAACACCAAACGCCTTCCCGCCTCCTCCTCCTCCTCCGTCTTCACCGGTCGCGGCGGCTCTTCCATCAATTCCCGACGATTCGTCGTCGTCGGGGTGGCGGCCGACTGCGGCCTCGGCCTGGGCTAGCCAATCGCTAGTTACGACAGCGTGGTGGGCAGCACGGGTCTGGTAATAAGCAGAAATGTTGGATTTAGGGTTTTGGACAGAATCGGCCATGGAAGGAGGCGGAGATGAGAGAAAGAGAGATTCGGGATTTGGCGGAACGCTGTCGTTTTGTTGTTGTTGCTGTCTGTCAAGAATGAAAGAAGGCGATCTCCACCACATTTATTAAATTTTGTGTGTTTGGTGAGTACGTGTGTGTCTTTTTTACTTTTAAGGGTTTTTTTTTTTTTTGGGAGTGTGTATTTGTGTTTGGGAGGATCACTTTCTCGGGAAAATTTGAAGGAAAGTGAGCGACGTAAAGAAGAGCAAGGTAAGGTTCCCCGGCAGCAGTTGTGAGGGAGATTCTGATTATGTGCCTGTTTAAGGAATCAGTAAAAACGAGAAAAACGATGTCGTAGGGTCAAAATGCTGCAGCTTCTTGTATACTTAAATTAATAAAATATTGCTTCAATAATTTTATTGTTTAATTGTTTTCTTTTTGCTTGCTTGGTCGACAAGCACAAAATCAGAATTAGATATGATTATTAAGTCAAAGTAAAAAAGGATTGTGAAATAGTAATGTCTACACGACCCAATAGTTAAAGCATATATTTTTATTTTATTTAAAGAATTATATTTAAATTCCTCTGTAATCTTTCTTAATAAGTTTATCTTATTCAAATAAGAAAATAATGTGTCGAAAGATAATTAGGAGATTATCGTTAATTAATACCATAGGTGGAAGTAATAATCAACACTTTATACATAAGAAACATATGAATAAGAACTAATCACAGCTGCCCTTTACAAATTTCACATTTTACAGTTGATAAGACTATACACTACAATAAGGCCCATGATGAGGGAATGGTCAATATGGGGCTCCACCACCATTGCTAAAACATCTTCTCCTAAACTAATTCCACATTTTGATTGCTTTCTCTTCACCTGTCCATGCAAACACATGGAAAATCTGTGAGCAAAACTTCAAAACAAAGAGATCTCTTTTAACTATTATTAATAATAGTTGTATTAGTAATTTAGTACCAAATTTACCTCAGCAATAAGGCGCCCAAATTTGTCTACAATCTTGAATGTTGAAGACTTGCCTGCGCAGCTTTCAATCTGATAATAATGACATTGTTGATCTTCATCTAACCAAACAGCAACTTCACAGAGCGAGTCCCCTCCTAATATCCCGAAGCTTTTTCTAACTCGAAAAGCTGGCTTTTTATCTTCATCGTTAACTGTTCCATCGGATGATCTATACCCTTCCCAGAACCTAACGAGCTTAAATTTCTGAAACAAAAACAAGCGGCTTCCATATTATATCTAGTTTGTATAGGAACCAAGTGCAATTTTCGAAATGATGTTGACAAAGTTTGCTTTCCTTACCTTTCTCCGCATGGTGAATAACACTTTGCCGGTTAAATCCATGAGGTGAACTTCATCGCTGCACTTGCAATTGTAGTTATCGACACGGTAAACAATCTGGCCGTTTGAATCAAATACAGTGCAGCCTTTGCTGCTCAGTATCAGAGATTTCATCCAAATCGTGAAAGTTTCTCGGTTGGACGTGAAAGGAACGGGGACCAGAGAAGCATGTGGGACTTGGGGATGGATTTTTGCCATCTAAAAGAATGTTTGGGTTTTCAGTCTAAGACCTCTGGAGGTTTTATACACATTTTTTAGTTCTATTTTGTGGGGTACTGAAGAAGCCAGAATATTAATTAGCAGACTCATGCGTGCTTGATAACCACTAGAGGGATTACCTAGATAATTTAAAAAAGGCTATATTTCTTATTGTATGAATTTTTATTAATTAACATCCACTAAATCAACTGCATTAATTTCAGAGATTAAGTGATAAGCTGATATTGGAGTATTATGTATGATTTGGGTTTTATTTCTTGGCTTGTTCTTTAAGCATTAAGAGATAAAGGTTTTAAAAATGTGATCGTTAGTAGTATAATATTGCAGAATGTTTATACGCTTATCGTCAACCTGTAATTTGTTCTTTGAAACTTATCGTTTCAGTGACTCCATATGTCGGATGCGCTTTATGCAGCTTAAGTCAGACCACTACCTTAAGCTAGCTGGATCATCAAATCAAACCAAGGTGTGCGTAACACCTCACTCAGCATTTACAACACAATGTGCCGTACTAATGCGGCTTTCGTAATCAGTTTGTCTGATACTGCAAAACAGTAGGATCTTTGTCTGAATTCCTGTATGCTTTTCATTTTGATAATGATAAAAACTTATGCTCATGCTTTAACTGAATCGTGGTTTTTCGCTATCAGAACTGACGCATCATTGTCCTCAGTACTTCAGTAATTAAGCTTATAATTGGTTCACAAAGCTTCAACCGTAACTATATATATATATATACATATATATACATGTGTGTGTGATTATTATGATTGAAAATGCAATAAGGAATTGCTCATCGCCCGTTGTTAAGCATAAGGTCAGAATTTAAAGATAATAAGCATATATTTATTACAACATTATACCTCATGAGTCGTTTACCAATCATGGACCTCAAGTTTTGATGGAGTTCTCTCAAATTAATAATCATGAATAAACTTCCGTACGGTACTTTTAATTTCCCTAGCACGAGGCTTGAATAAAATCCAGCGGCCGGCCTCGAGTGAAGTCTAATAATGATGGCAACTAGCAAACAGTTTCTGGATGGAATACGGTCCCATCGCAGATTCCCAATCCAAGCTAGTCCTTTTCGTAATTAGGATAAACATGGACCTCTCCAGAAAAGGGAAGTTAGTTAGCTGACCAAACAAATTAAATATAATTTTGGCCAGTTGGCTCTTCCAATCTCAAGCTTGCATTGCATGGGTGGAAAAACATGAGGAACTGAAGTTCTCTGATACAGGAAATTTCCATGGCATTTCCAGGAAGGTTATCTGATCATCTCCAACTCTTGATATGTATCTCAAATGCTTAACTCACGTTTCATATAATAAAAAAACTATAGACATGAATCCACCACAAGCGATCATTTTCTAGTTTTTTTAATTAGGTGGTCCAATTATATCTTGTATTAATTAATTAGTCAAAATACTCAATAAGTCCTTGTACTTATACATTTTGTTCAATTTAATCCATTTACTTAAAATCGAAATAATTTAATTTTTTTTATTTTAAAAATTACTTCAATTTAGTTTCTCCTTAACAATACTTAATTTTTTTATTAAAAATATAACATCAACACTAACATCAGCGATGACATGACCTATTTTGATGATGTAACATTCATATAGTGACATGGTATGCCATGTGGTATTAATATGATGACATGGTAATGCTGGCGTGCACTAATATGATAACGTGGTAATGCTGACATGTCAATGTCACGTGACAAATTAAAAAATTTTAATAAAAAATTTATTACACATCATAGCAACTAAATTGAATAAATATATATAGTAAAGGATTAAATTGAACAGAACTGAGATGTTGAAGGACTAAATTGAAAAATATATTTAAAAAATATAAATATTTAAATAGATGATAAATATACTTGTTAATAAATCAAATATTTAAATATAAAAAATTTATGATTTAAAAATATATATAAATATATTCTTACTTAATTATTTAATTGTAGAATATGTGCAGTAATTTATCTTCTTTGTAAAAATTAAATTTGAATTCTTCTTTTATAAAAAAATTCATACCTAAAGTCAAATTTAAATGAATAATTTACATTATGTTATAATAAAATAATATAAAAAATTAAATAATTTTTTAATTTATAATAGTACAAAAATTTAAAAGTTACTTGATTTAATTTTTAATTTGAGCTGAATTCAAATTAATAAAATAAATTGACTTAATTTTTCTTTTTAAAAAATGAAAAAAAATATGAAGTTAGTAATAATTATAAAAATAATTATTTATTTTAACTTGCTTAATTTGAACATAATAAACCTCTCATTATAACTATAAAATCTAAGTTATTTCACCTCTTTAATTTTTTATTTATTTTTTATGTTTTTATTGTGTTTAATATTTCAAGTTATATTTTTAAGTTGAAATTTTTTAGATTAAAGACTATATTTATAATTAATAGAGTTAAATATAATTACAAATATTTGTACCATTTTATTTTGTATTTATAAATTTTTTATAAGTTTAAATTAATAATTTTAATTTTAATTTAATAAAAATTAATTATGATATTTAAACTTAAATAAAATCATTTTATAATAAACTTTAAATAAATTTAAATAAAAAATAAATTGATTAAAAGTTAAATAATTCCAAACGAATGTGTATTTATAAATTGTAAAAATTGTAACTAAGTCAACTTCTTTTACTAATTTCAATTCAAATCAAATTAAAAATTAAACCAAATAAATTTTAAATTTTTATATTATTATATATAAAAATAATTTATTTAATCTCTTTTTATTACTTCATTTCATCTTAATGCAATTTATTCATCAAAATTTAATTTTAAATATAATTTTTTTAAAATTTTTTTATTAAAAAAATTTAATCTTAATTTTTATAAAAAAATAAATTAATATATATATTTTAAAATTAAATAATTAAATAAAATATATATTTTTTTTCAACATCATAAATCTTTTACATTTAAATATATAATTTATTTATAAATACATCTATCATCTACTTAAATATTTATAGTTTTTAATTTTTTTTTTAATTTAATCCATCTAACATCTCGATATAAGACAAAAAAAATGTAAAAATTTTTTTATTTACGGCAGACACTTCTACTCATAAATTCTAAATAAAATAATAATAAATAAAATAAATAAATCACTGTTAAAAAAAACTAAAATGCATGCTTGACCTGCATAATCAAAGTCTACACAGAGCATTTAATGCCTATTCGGCAACTGGATTTGGATAACCTACGGTTGTCAGACTTGGAGCCCCTCATATGTAAAATCATGTCAAGAAAAGCATGATTTCACTTTTTAATTGTTCAAAAATTAGACAATTGGGTTCTATAAAAAGTTTTAAAATTTTTAATTGAAAAGGAGGTGACTAGATTGAAAAAAAATCTAAAGGAGGTTGAATATCAAAAGAGGAAAAAAAACCCTAAAAAATTCTTTAAGAGCAACAAGCTGGATTTCAAAAAAGCCAAAAAAAATTCCCTACCAACAAAAAGCCTCAAAAATCTCTGAAAACCCCTAGAGATTTCTAAATCAAAAACCGTTGGGATAGGATCCTTGCATCCCAAACAGTGTGTTTTGAAGCGGACCAAGAGGGTTGGGGAAGTTGATCCAGGCCCCTCCCTCACGGACCAGTCATCTTGGGCCACTGTTAGCCCAAGGAAGGCAAACTCTTTGGATTTTATGAGTTTGGTTTGATTTTGTTGTGTTGTGTTTGACCCAAATACTTGGTTGGAAAATAAATTAATTTTAGTATATGATTAATTAAAATAAAAAAAATATTTAGAACAATTATATAACGTTAGGGTAGGAATATAAATTGAACACAAGAAAAAAACTATAAATGGAAAATAAATAAATATATAGTTACAAAGAAAGAATAGGTTTTGACAAATGAAATAAATAGAGAGACAATAAATGATAATAGACTTAGGTAAGAAATAAAAAATATAAATAAATAGTTAGCTACAAAACAGATCTAATAGAATAGAGAAATAAATTTGGATAAATGAAAAAATATAAAACAATATATATATTAGTTATAAGGAAAATAGGTTAGGAAGGAAGTGAAAATAATAATAAAACGTGTGGCTATGAAAAGTAGGTTAAGTAAGTTAGTAAAAATAGGATAAAAATAATAATAGAAAAAGTATTTATTTTTGAAAAATAGATTGGCTAAAATAAATAAATTAATAATCATGGCAACAATAGAATAGAATATTTGGTTAAAAATGGATATAGGTAAAAGGTGAATATTTTATAAAAGAACAGATTTTTTTTTTGAAAATTAAGTGGACATAGAAAAATAGATAAACATTTGAATTCAAAAAATATAAAGGTAGAGAAATAATAATGGCTATAATAGGAAAATATATATATATATTTAGGATCAATATTTATATTTAGGAAAGTGTCTAGGTTTGGTTTTAAAACAATATATGTTATAATATCAATAACTCCAAAAATTATATAAATTACTGATGATGGATTTTTTTAGCTTAGAGGTTTTGATTAAGACCCCACTAGTACATGGGAGGATTTTAATTTTGAGTTATGATAATAATAATGATGATAATAATAATATAAAAATGATATAATAATTAGTCAAAAAGAAAATAGGAGAGGTTAATAAAAATGTAGGAAAGGTGTTGAGTTATAAAAAATATATATAAATAATAATAATTATGAAATAAAATATTTGGTTAAGAAATAGCATTTGGATAAAAAGACAACGTATATCGCAAAATAGATAAATACTTACGTATAAAAAAATATATAGTAAAATAAAATATAGTTGGATGAAAATAATAAATATAAAATATTATTTCAATATATATACATATATATACAAAGATAAATAATAAAAAAAAAGAAATTTCAAAGAGATAATAAAAGAGTTGTAGGAAGATTAAGAAACGAATATTGAAATTTATAAGCACATTACATATCATCACTGCGTCGTTAAATGTCATGATATGTAGACGTATTGTGTGCACAAGTCAAAGCCTTGATGATGGGATTTTCCGAGGGAGCTTACGTAGATGAATTTCTTCATAAAAGTCCTTAGATAAAAAGATACCTTCGAATTCTATTAGTATGATGAGAAGGCTCAAATGGCATTCTTAATAAAAAGGTTCTATTTATATTACCATTTGCATTCATGAAAAAGTTTTCATTTGGTATTATCCAAATTTTATGCTGTGCATTTCACAATTGCATGAGGTGCACCTCTCATCCATAAAATCAAGTAAAATATTTTAATTCACTAATAAAATAAAAAATAAAATCAATAAACAATAATTAAGGAAGCATAAGAATCAAATGAATAGTTTAGAATACATATGATTAAGCGGTACCGTTCATGAAATGGGCATCACATGGAGTGTTAATCCTGCCTTATGCGTAACTGTACTTTTAAAATTAACTTTAAAAATTTGTAGACCAATTTATTGTTCTTAGACAAATCTAAAATCAATTTAGACTCCGTCAAATATAATAAATGTAATAAGTGATCAATCGCACCTAGATAAAAAAAAGATTGGTGGCGACTCTAGAACTTTCCACATTTAGTTGTCGAGTTCTTGAATCAGCACGTTACGACAGCCATGTGACACTGACACCTTAGTATGTCAACGCCACGTCAACATGTTGATGCCGCATGGCGCATCATGTCATCATGTGAGTGTCACATCATCAAAATATACTATATCATCACTGATGTCAGTATTGACATCATCCTTGATGCGGTTAAAAACAAAAACTAAATTAAAATAATTTTCAAAATTAAAAAATTACATTACTTTAATTTTGAATATAAGAATTAAATTGAATAAAATATATAAGTACAAGGACTTATTAGGTGTTTTGACCAAATTAATTTCCATAATCTTTAATGATCAAGGTCTTTTAATTTTTCCACTAAAAAAGAGAACAAAACGTTTTCCATTCCATGGAAACTCCTCCATTACTCTCACTTATAGTTATTTGTTAATTATATCCATAAATTTATATTTTTAACTAAATAATTATTTAAGAAAAAATATGACTTTCTTTTTGTAAGCAAGGTACAATTCTTATCAAGAAATTTAATATTACAAAATTCAACTTAATATTTGTGGATTTATGTTTCATCATATACTAATCTTTTTCTTTAAAATAAAATACTAGATCCTCAACTATTAATCGAACTTCTAAACAGGTTCATTAATTTTTGAAATAGATACTCCGTTTAAAAAAAAAATTTCATTCAACACATAGGTCAAATCATTAATCAATCATTAATATTTTTATTAATTTGATAATGTGATAATATTAAAGATAATTTTATCATTTGTTAATTTTAAAAATTACTACTATAAAAAAAAAGTTTAGGAGAGTAAGGTGCTCCCTTCCCCTGAGGAGCACTTGATCAGTGCTTCTTTCTTTTGGGAAACATCTGTCGTGTGGTGATCGGCCAAACTGGCATTATTTGAGAGAAAATAAATGAGAGAAAAAATAAATGACATTTTAGTTTTTTATATTTTTTGTTAGTAATGTTTACATTTTTGAATTGAATTATATATTTTAAAAATTAATAAATTCATGTAAAATTATAATTAAAAATTAAATTTGAAGGGATTAGAATATTTTAAAAAGTTAAACTTACTGATGTCAACAAAATGATAATTATAATTATTTTGTCTTATTCAAAAAAAAAAAAAAACGGTATGTTGCATTCAATGCACTAGGAAATATATTTATTATATAAGAATGCTTTGTTCACAAGTTAAGATTCTTTCATTAGCCCCGACCCACCCAAAGAAAACTCTTTGTTTATATATTTAGTGAAAATTAATTGGAAAAAATAATATAATCAATAATTTTTGGTTTCTAAAAGCAGTATGGAATTAGCTTCATAGTTGAGAGCGTAGGAGTGTATCATTGTCGAGAAAACCGCAAACGCGTTTTCGTCTTTGTGGTGAGGGACAGCAAATGATTGACCCTTCAAAATCTCTTCTCTTGTTATGTTCTGTTGCACACTTGTCTTCTAAAAAGTCAGAACTTTCAACATAAGTACAAAATCTGTGTCCCTCCTTGGGAAGTCTCTTGAGGTCATTTTTGTCCATCAAGCCCATTTTTCGCAACTTAAAAGAACTGCTCAAATCCCAATTTTGTTTGCATACAGCAGAGTCTACAGTTCATATCATGTGCCCACGTTTAAGGGGAGTCGCTTTCTCCGCCACAGGATATAGGGTCAAAATAATCTGAATCAGCACTGTCAACAAATTCAAAAAACAAGGAAAACACTAAAAATGATTATTTTATAGGAAAAAAAAAGAAATTTTTTACTCAATTTTGTAGATTGTGAGATTAGATATAATATATTCCCAGAATTTTTTTTGTATAGATATAATCCGTAGGCTTCTTCAGGTGTTTTTTTCATACAAGTTTGTTAAAAAGAGAAAAATGGGGTTATTTTTTTCTTTATATATTGAGAATGAGATGCTCATGATCAAGATCAAGACTTTTATCGTTTTATTGGTTACTTGACGAAGAACCGCTTTCTGGGTAGTAGGCCGCTGGTGGCTTTTCGTTTCATTTGGCTTTTACCAACCCTTTTTTCTTTATAACGGTCTGTTTGCGTACGTGGCAAGAATCTATTAGCGAGCTGCGTAATTCATGAAGAGATTGATCACTGATTGATTGATGATGACGTTGTTGATTGGCAATTTGAGGTAAAACGATTTTATATATATAAATACACACCTGAATTGCATATAAATTTGTTGTTTTTATCTGTGGGGAAGGGAAGGATTTATTTATTTATTGTTGGTTGTAATGTGGAAAAGATATTTCTGTTGGTGTTATTTGGTGATTCTGAATAATGGGATCTGTTAAATTACGCGTGGGAGTGATTGATGACAGATGGGTATGAGTTGGTTCATGAGAAAGGGGGTGTTTTGATCTTATTTGTAGTGACTGAGGATCAGTCTTTTACTCTTTGTTTGATTTCCTGTATTGCAATCTGTTCAACTAAATTTTGGTTCAAGAATTTGCGCACAGAAGAATTTTGAGGTGGGTTTAATGAACTTGGCAGCGGTTTGTTCCAGTTTCTACTGTACTATTTATTCATTCTTGGATTGGAATGGAGCATTGCAAGCTACTTTGATCTGGTGAAAGATTGCGGTGTGTGCATGATTGTTTTTTAAAAGAATTGTTTTTGAGGTGGATTAGAGTGGTTTCAGTTATGGTTTCTTAGAATTTTTTAAAGTTCTATTGTTGCTCTTGGTAGGATTGTGTCTTCATTTGGGATGAATTGGATGTTATCTAGTTTATGGTTTGTCAAGAGTGTCAAATGAACATAACATAATGAGCGGGGGCAGTAGAATTATTCGTAGATGGACGCCCCTAATAAGACATTTTCTGAGCTAGTTAGTTTACTAAAGTCATGGCTCCCTTGGCGATCAGAGCCTGCTAATGTGTCAAGGGACTTTTGGATGCCTGATCATAGCTGCAGGGTATGCTATGATTGTGATTCCCAGTTCACATTGTTTAACCGTAGACACCATTGTCGACTCTGTGGCCGAGTTTTCTGTGCCAAGTGTACAGCAAACTCAGTTCCTGCACCATCTAATGACACAAGGCTTCCCCAAGAAGAGCGGGAGAAGATTAGGGTGTGTAATTATTGTTTCAAGCAATGGGAGCAGAGCATAACTACTATTGATGATGATGGAATGCAAGTGCCCAACCAGGAACTTAGTTCTTCACCATCGGCCACTAGTTTTATCAGCACTAAATCTAGTGGCACTGCTAACACCAGTAGTTTTACTTTTGGCTCAATGCCATATCCAGCCGGACCGTACCAACGAGTTCAACAGAGGTCTATTCTCAGCCCGCATCAATTGTCTGCAATGAATAAAAAGCTAATGGATAGGCCTGGCAAGAGAGCACCAGAGAGGAGCAATGATCTTGTTTTGGATGCAGAAGATCCATCTTTGAACCATTATGGGTTTTCATTGAACAGGTCAGATACTTTTGTCCTCTTCATTGCATAACCTTAAAATTTTAAGATTTGTCTATCAATGAAGCATAAGTTAATTCTTTATATGTGTCCTTGGACACCTTTGTCTGCATGTGTTTGTGCATCCCTACCAGCATTATTGTTTTTTTTTTTATTATTTTTCATTTTTGATCAGTGCTATTTATCGAATAGGTCTCTTAAAAACAGAAATAGAAAAAGGAAAAGGAAATATAAGTAGCCATTAAAACCAATTGGAAGAGTTGGAGAGAAAAGATAGTCTTAATGTGCTATTTCTATTACTTACCTATTACTTTCCTTTCTTTTGTCATCAGGAGTGATGATGAGGATGATGAGTACAGCTTATACCTGTCTGATTCTGAGACAAAGCATTTCTGTCAAGAAAATGGCTACTATAGTCCTGTTGACTTTGATGAGATGAGCAACGATGATGGATCACATAAGTTTCATCCTGATAGCGAAAATAGTGACTCAAAAATTTTAAGCAGTTCTCCAATAAACAATGGTTTTCCTTCACCAGGCTTGGAAGGAATATCACAGCTTGTGAAGAAAGATGAACGTGAAATTGGTGAGGAATGTGAAGCATCATCTTCTTTATACGCTGCTGAGGATCTAGACGCTGAGGCTGTAGATTTTGAAAATAATGGACTTCTCTGGCTCCCTCCTGAACCAGAAGATGAAGAAGATGAGAGGGAAGCTGCTCTATTTGATGATGATGATGATGATGGGAATGCTACTGGAGAGTGGGGATATCTACGCAACTCAAGCAGCTTTGGAAGTGGGGAGTATCGCACTAGGGATAGGTCAAGTGAGGAGCACAAGAAAGCAATGAAGAATATAGTTGATGGACATTTTAGGGCTTTGGTTGCTCAGCTTTTACAGGTTGAGAACCTTCCTGTGGGTGATGAAAATGATGAAGAGAGTTGGTTGGAGATTATCACTGCTCTTTCATGGGAGGCTGCTACACTCTTGAAGCCAGACACTAGCAAAGGGGGAGGTATGGACCCTGGTGGATATGTTAAAGTGAAATGCATAGCTTCTGGACGTCGCTGTGAGAGGTAAATGTTACACAAGATAATAAATATTCTATACGACTCATTATGCCATTTTGTTCTAATGAATGTAGATTTCTCAGTTAAATCACTGAGATTACCACAAAAATTGCTTTGTAAAACAGATAATCATGTCTTATGTCTGCATCAACCGTGACTTTCTCTTTAAGGTTTCAGCATATGGATGTAGTACAGACTGAGGCCTTCAGTCTGGCTGCTGAATAGCAGGTTTCTAATTTGATAACTCGTGTATAAATCTAAGAAGTCTGTGCTAGGATTTTCATGATATGCTACTTAACAACATAAATCCAACTCTTCATTTCTGCTGATCTATGTTAAGTAAGAGGGTGGATCAATCAACAATCTTATCTGACTAAATAGCCATAGATACTGTTAAACATCAACAAAAAATTGAAAAAAAAAAAAAACACTTAAAAACACTTATTTACTTGAAGGTTTCTTCAGCACTTGTCCACTTAGACATGTAGTGCAGTGATTTGAGAAAGTCATCAATTACTGGTAAAAAAAAAAGAATTAGATGATTATGTCCAGAATGGCTTGCCAATTATGTGGAGACACCTCTCTTTTAACCTTGGAAACCTTACATTTTGCCCCTGCCCAATCTGCCACTCCTTTCCATTCTTTCTTCTACCTCAAGCAATGAATAAACGGCTATATTTTGTAAAACTACATTGTTGACATTAGACTATCAGTTGCACCACTTTTATCACTTGCATTAGCTGCTTGATATTAACATACTGATTCTACTATACTGCTGCACTGGTTGTCAACATGTCCTTTTTCTATTTCTGATTTTGATATTGTTCTTGTAGTATGGTTGTCAAAGGAGTTGTTTGCAAGAAAAATGTTGCTCATCGACGTATGACTTCAAAAATAGAGAAACCTCGGTTGTTGATCCTTGGTGGAGCTCTTGAATACCAGCGGGTCTCTAACCTATTGTCAAGTTTTGATACTTTGTTGCAGCAGGTGTTTCATGTTAATATATTTCTTTCTGTTGAGGATTATCAATTTTTTTTTCCTTGAACCACTGTGTTTTATTTATTTATTTTAATATTCTGTCTTTTTGTGTTTATGTTAATGGGTGGAATTCTTTAACCAGGAAATGGACCATTTGAAGATGGCAGTAGCAAAGATACATGCACATCAACCCAATATCCTTCTGGTAGAGAAATCAGTTTCTCGATTTGCCCAGGACTATCTTCTCGAAAAAGACATATCACTTGTTCTCAATATCAAAAGGCCATTGTTAGAACGCATTGCACGCTGCACAGGTGCTCAAATAATCCCTTCAATTGATCATCTCTCTTCTCAGAAGCTGGGTTACTGTGAAAAGATTCATGTTGAGAGGTTCATGGAAGATCTTGGCTCTGCTGGACAAGGAGGGAAGAAATTGTTCAAGACATTAATGTACTTTGAAGGCTGCCCAAAGCCATTGGGTTGCACTGTAAGTTATCAAGCTAAACATAAAAAATGGAAATGGAAACTAACAGAAGAAATTAAAGTTTACCCTGACATACTTAAATTTGGTTTATGGGACAATTCTTTGGTCCTTACATAAATTCCATTCAGTGTCAGTTGTTGTTTTATCTCCTCTGAGATCTCCTGGAAGATGATTTCACTGGAAAGGTTTAGGAGGTTTTTTGTGGAGATAATATTTGTGTTGCTAACATTGTGGGTCTATATGAAATTATCTTTATGTTGCAAGTGGATTATTTTATTAGTTTAAACTGAATATTATTTTTGTGGATACACACACACATTTTTTATTTATGCCTGTTTGCTTCAGATATTACTCAGAGGTGCAAATGGATATGAGTTGAAGAAAGTGAAGCATATATATCTATATATATACATATTTTATTTATTTATGCCTGTTTGCTTCAGATATTACTCAGAGGTGCAAATGGAGATGAGTTGAAGAAAGTGAAGCATGTGGTCCAATATGGAATTTTTGCAGCTTATCACTTGGCTTTGGAGACATCGTTTCTTGCTGATGAAGGAGCTTCTCTGCCAGAATTCCCTTTGAACTCTCCCATTACTGTGGCACTTCTGGATAAACCATCAAGCATTGCGAGGTCCATATCAACAGTTCCTGGTTTTCTGCTTCCTGCCAATAAAAAGTCCCAGGAACCTGAGCATAGTAGTGAACTGCAAAGAGCTAACAGTAGTCTCACTTTATATCTGTCATCATCAATCATGAGTCATAATATTCAGAAGATAGAAGAAACTCCACCATCTTGTTTACCTAATGGTACAAGCTTGTGGTCTGCACAACCCAATTTTATAGAGTCAACTGCCCATTTATCATCTGCTTCTGAGAAAGTTCTTTCAGACACATTTTCCAAGAGAAATGAAATGGGTCCCAAAGAATCCTCAATGGTGGAAGTTTTTATAGACAAAAGTGAGTTGGCTGTCACAAATAATCATCTCACTGTTAGTAATGTTGGGTCATTAGAATCTTTGGGACAATTTTCTATGGTACAAATTGACCAAGAAAATCAGAGCGCACCAGTGGAAATTCTGCCAGGTGGCTCAGAGGCATCATCTGTGCAACAAGATAGTAAAAACCATAAGAACCATTCTGAGGAGCCAAAAGCATTAAAAGAAGAATTTCCTCCATCACCTTCTGATAATCAGAGCATTTTGGTTTCTTTATCATCCCGATGCGTGTGGAAGGGGACTGTCTGCGAAAGATCTCATCTCTTTCGAATCAAGTACTATGGCAGTTTTGATAAACCTTTGGGCCGGTTTTTACGGGATCATTTATTCGATCAGGTAAACTTTCTTCCTCACATTTATATATTTCTTCTTACATAGCCAGGAATTCTCTTGAAACTGAAGAGACTACTGATTTGTCAGAGTTATCGATGCCATTCTTGTGATATGCCTTCAGAAGCACATGTTCACTGCTACACTCATCGACAAGGAACCCTTACCATATCTGTTAAGAAGGTCCCAGAAATTTTCTTACCTGGTGAAAGAGAGGGCAAGATCTGGATGTGGCACCGATGCCTGCGATGTCCTAGAACCAATGGTTTTCCTCCAGCCACTCAGAGAATAGTGATGTCTGATGCTGCTTGGGGTTTATCTTTTGGGAAGTTTTTGGAGCTTAGTTTTTCAAACCATGCAGCTGCAAGCAGGGTTGCCAGCTGTGGCCATTCTTTACATAGAGATTGTCTTCGTTTCTATGGGTAAATTTTCTTCCTTTATTGTTTTATATTTATGTAACCAAATATCATATATGAGTACCACAAGTAGTTGGCCTCATAAAGAATATGCAAAACACAACTTTTGTGCCAGCTCTTGACTTATATAATGATAATTCTCCACATTGTGTCATTATTGCATATTTTGTTTGAGTTGATTTAAACCTTTCTGGCCATACAAAATCCTTGGTCAGGTTATATCAATCATAGTACTTCTTTGAGTGGTCATAGATACCTAATGAATGTTCTAATGAACTGATTATAAATTTGATGCCTCATGTTGAATGATGTAGAGCATGACTTGGCTGATAAAAGACCAGGAATTGTTAGTGGCAAAAAATTTCATTCATCATCATCTCTTTCTCAACTCACTGTTTAAATATCTGTAGATTTGGGAGAATGGTTGCTTGTTTTCGGTATGCATCAGTTGATGTACATTCAGTCTACCTTCCACCCCCAAAACTTGATTTTGACTTTGAGAATCAGGAGTGGATACGAAAAGAAACAGAAAAGGTGAAAGGATAATAGTTTTGTTTTCTTGGAAGAATGCAATTTGATCTCTCTGCAATTGGGTAATCTATTTTTATCTTATTATTATAAACAGGTGGTTGACCGGGCAGAGCTTCTATTTTCCGAAGTACTCAATTCCCTAAGTCAAATTTCAGGAAAAAAACTTGGCACAGGGGCACCTAATAATGTCACAAAAACACCTGAATTGAGACATCAAATTACTGAACTTGAAGGAATATTACAGAAGGAGAAGCTGGAGTTTGAGGTGAGACTTCCTTTCTTTTTTGCCTTACCAAGACAGATTTTAATGTCTATGCCAGATTGCCAGTGGATTTATGTTGACCATGTAGAAATAGAATAAATGAGTATGCATGCTGATGAATCGGGCATTAGAAAAACTGTTAGAAAAATGCTATCTCCATGTTTTGTGAACTTGTTGGTAAACAATGTTTAGATATTCTGCAAATGTTTTCTAAAAAATACTTATGCGTTGGAGGTCCACCATGATAACCCTTTGAAATTTATCCATTAAGCCTTTCTCTTTGGGGGGATAGTTATCTGGTTTCTTATTATTTTTCAATCAATAAAATTCTGGTAAAGAACAAAACCTTTATAAAATTCTTTTAATATACCAGAGATTTGTAGATAAAATTATTCAGAGTTGACAATTTAAAAGGGTCTATAACTGAAAAAAAAAATGTCAAATTTCCCTTTCTTCTGTTACTTTGAGTTGAAAAATGCCTATAACTGAAAAACAAATGTCGAAATTTCATTGCTGTTTCTAATTTCTGGTTTCTAATAGTTCTTGGCCTTGGTTTAGGAATCATTGCAAAAGGCTTTGAAAAGGGAAGTGAGAAGAGGGCAACCGGTTATTGACATTCTTGAAATTAATCGGTTGCGGCGGCAATTACTTTTCCAATCTTATATGTGGGACCACCGCCTGGTTTTTGCAGCCAATTTAGAAAATTGTGGCCTCCAGGACAGTTTCAGCAATTCAATTTCAGGACATGAGGAGAAATCCCCCTCTGAGAGCGAGAAGTTCAAAGACATGGATATGTTGGAACTTGGAAAAGGCTTTGAATGCAATGACTCTGCCATTGTGGAAGCAAAGCTTGATAGAGACTGTGACCAAAGAGAATTAAATGGCAACACTAATCAGTCAGATGCGATTCATCAAGGACCAGACATGAGTGAAAATTCAAATCTTGGAAACAAAGACTATGGTAACCTTTCTGCTAGCCAGAGCATGTATGACCGATCTGACTCTGAGAAACCTGCGGCAAATGTTCGCCGGGTCCTGTCTGAAGGCCAGTTTCCTAGTATAGAAAATTTGTCTGATACCCTTGATGCTGCTTGGACCGGTGAAATTCAGCGAGCACCTGTAATACCTAAGAATACTTCATGTTCACTTTCTGACTCTGCTGCTGCTGCAGATATTGCTGCCATAGGTGCAGTAACAGAGGGGTTAGATTTGGAAGACCATTCTGAAGAAAAACTTGGGCTGAAGGTTCTTCATTCTCTTTCACCTGCATTGTCCGCTAAAGGTTCTGAAAATATGGACGATTCTGTGAGCTGGTTAAGAATGCCTTTCTTAAGTTTCTACCGTTCATTGAACAAAAACTTTTTAGGAAGCGCTTCAAAGCTTGATACGTTCAGTGAATATGATCCAGTCTATGTTTCATCATTTAGAGAGTCAGAACTGCAAGGTGGGGCTAGATTGCTTTTGCCGGTGGGTGTTAATGACACTGTTATTCCAGTTTATGATGATGAGCCTACGAGTATGATATCATATGCTCTAGCATCTCCTGAATATCATTTCCAGCTAAGTGATGATGGGGATAGACCTAAAGACAGTGGGGATTTAATGGCTTCAGTTCCCTTATCTGATTCAATGAATTCTCAATTGTTACATTCTGTTGATGAGATGACCCTTGATTCTCATAGAAGTCTTGGTTCAACAGATGACATTACTGGATCTCGCAGCTCCCTGATTATGGACCCACTCTCCTGTACAAAGGCTTTGCATGTCAGGGTGTCTTTTGGAGATGATGGGTCATTTGATAAAGTGAAATACACTGTGACTTGCTACTTTGCAAAGCGGTTTGAAGCACTAAGGAGAATATGTTGCCCATCAGAGTTAGATTATATAAGGTCTCTGAGTCGTTGTAAGAAGTGGGGAGCTCAGGGTGGCAAGAGCAATGTTTTCTTTGCAAAGACCTTGGATGATCGTTTTATCGTTAAACAAGTCACAAAGACAGAGTTGGAATCGTTTATAAAATTCGCACCTGGGTATTTCAAGTACTTGTCCGAATCAATCAGTTCTGGAAGTCCAACGTGCCTGGCAAAGATTCTCGGCATTTATCAGGTGCATGCTCTTAGGGCTTCAGATGCTATAATGCTACATATCATAATCATTAATCTATTGGATAAACAAGACAAATTGCTCATTTTGGCCATCATATAAAGAAGCTGGAATAATCCTGGCATTTTCTTTTATATTGGCTCCCATGAATCTTATTAATGTCCAAATAACTGAAAGCCAGAAAGTACCTGTTTTTTCCTTTATATTTGTAGTCAGAGTGCTTATTTTATTTACTATGTGCAGATAAGTAAGGTTGTTTTTGCATAAATAACTTATAAGCTTGCATGTTGAACCTTTCCGGTATACAGAAGTGAATGATTATTAGAGAATAAATTGTTTAGAATGCAGTCTTTCAATTTACAAGTTTAATATGTTTTGCTACAGTTATTACCTTGAAGTCAGCTAGTGTTATGAGCCCGCTAGGAAGTTGATGGGTAACTTAGGCAGACAGGTGACAGTGTTGCTACTGCTGTGCAATATCTGCTAATGCATTCTGGCAAGACGATGGGCTTGATCTTCTTATACTTGTATAGCTACTGACATATAACCTAAGAAACATATTTATATTTAAGGAAGGAAAAGCTGAAAGTTGGAGCTATCTCTAAGGGTCATATTCTATCTTTCAAGAGTAAATATAGATTGTCCTGGGTTTGGTGCTAATTGCTGATACTTCTGTATGAAAATAACCAAGACGATTTAGAAAAGAGGACAGAAAACCTTTGCTTTTTCATGCTTTTAGGAATGAGATGGTACTAAGAGTATGTTCAACTTATTCATAGATGGCAAATTTCACATAGTTTCTGGGATCATTATTTACTTTTTATTGTTGATTTTTTTCTTGGAAGGTTGCGGCAAAGCATCTTAAAGGTGGGAAAGAATCAAGGATGGATGTTTTGGTTATGGAGAATCTTATGTTTAGAAGAAGTGTCACACGGCTATATGATCTCAAAGGATCTTCTAGATCTCGTTATAATCCTGATTCTAGTGGAAGCAACAAGGTTCTGCTAGATCAGAACTTGATTGAATCAATGCCAACTTGCCCTATATTTGTGAGTAATAAGGCTAAGCGGTTGTTGGAAAGAGCAGTCTGGAATGACACTGCTTTTCTTGCAGTAAGTTTTAAATCTTTGTGTGCTTGTGCCCCTGAAAGGAGGGGGTGTAGTTTGCATGCCTGGAGATATGTTCACATGACCTGCATTTCTAGTTTGGATTAACTAAAGTACATGTCATCAGTTGTACTCATTTTTTATCTTTTCTACCTTGCAGTCATGCGATGTGATGGATTATTCGTTACTGGTTGGAGTGGATGAAGAGAAGCATGAGTTAGTTCTTGGAATCATTGATTTCATGAGGCAGTATACCTGGGACAAGCATCTTGAAACTTGGGTAAAGGCTTCAGGCATCCTTGGTGGGCCAAAGAACGAATCACCAACTGTAATTTCCCCAAAACAATACAAGAAAAGGTTCAGGAAAGCAATGACAACTTATTTTCTAATGATCCCAGATCAGTGGTCTCCTCCTATCATTTCAAGCAAATCTCAGTCAGATATAGCTGAAGAGAATGGACAAGGTGGGAGCTCAGTTAAGTGATTCTGTGAGTCTGTGGTTGTATATTCAGAAATATAATTTGGGAGTTAAACTCTCCCTATCTGTTTTTCCTTGTTCATATGATTCCGTTTTATCAATTCTTTTGGAGGGCAATTTTTCTTTTACACATCAAAAGAGAAATTCATGATTATTTGTTAGGAGATGCAGAACAAGGCTGTTAAAGCCATGAGAATTTCTGTCAGAGGTCCAATATTTGATGACCTCTGCATGAAATTTTTGTACAAAATATTTATTCTTGTATTTAGCATTCCATCATGTACATGTATTCTATGTCAACTCTTTTTCATGTATCACAGTGAATTAGACTCCTATGTGAATTCCCGATATCGTCTGTATACTTTCTTTCTGTGTGTCTGTACCCTTTTCAGGCCGTTAATTGTTCAGGTTTCCAGCATTCATCTTTTGCTTAATATTATATCGTGTTCAATTTGGTCATTAAATGATAGCATCTGATAATAGGGATGACTTTTATAATGTTAGACAGAGAATGATAAACCTGTAAATGTTGCTAATCTGAGCAATCAAATTATTCATAAGGTTCCAAACTTTGAACTATTTGACCGTTTACAGCATAAAAGGCAGTCCAGAAAGTCAACTTTTAGGATGCGGGAATCATGCATTCACAATGCTGTTAGCCTGTAACCAGAAAAGGTATTTGATGGAAAATAACAGGAAATCCGAAGGAGCTGTGAGCTTTGATCCTCCATAACACAAAAACATGGTGATTACAAGAGAGAGCTTTTCTGCTTTCTATATACAATCTCTAATAATTGACGTGTCTTTCTTGTACATGCTGCACGATATTTACTTCATGAAATCTGTAGAATCTTGGTAAGAGCCAGGCTTCTATTGGTGGAATTTGTTAAAATCATTCTACTTGGAGTCATCTTGCACGATGATAACACCTTTATTAGCATTGCTGAATCCGCCACCTTTAACAATTTGAAGCCATCTATCTTGAAGAAGATCAAGGATCTCAGCATCACTGGATTCAGTTCAACATTAACAAAAGAACTTCATTTCAGACAGGTCACAGTAACTAGAATATGGTGTAACGTGGAACCTGAGACAGGGTTCTTACCTCAGATGGTAAAATGATCCATGAATCTGTCGAGGAAATCGAGGGCCCTCATCGTATCCTTCGCAAACTATTTCTCCATTTTCATCTCTATAGCAGATGACACCCTCAGACTGATCCTCGAAAACCTGCTAAAAGATCAAGCAGGCATTCAAACATCCATCTTGGTTAGACAATCTATATGATTTACCCTATCAGCAAAAAATCATGGGTGAATTGAGTCCATCGGGAGGTGTTTAGCTGCAAGGACTTCGTTAGCTTCAATAACAAGATACATGGAAGACAAGGGTTGTTTACTATATGTGTCTTGGAATTGCAGCTAGCAATAAAAGAAAAAGATGTTGACCTTGTTCTTGGAGAAGGATCTGATCCGAAGTGTTGATGCTCTCTTGCCAGGAACTTGGTTGTGTTTAAGCATCACAGTCTTGTTGGCATGGTTTATAAGTGGACTAGACGTTGTAACTGGTATGTGAAGAGGAAAGGAGCATGTTACAGATATTGATCTCATACTCCAGGGAAGGACGGAAGGAAAGGAAGAGCAGTGGGTTTGTTCTAGGAAAGGTACTAAAGCCGAGACTAAGGAACAGGACAAAGCATTAGTTTATAAAGTATTGCAAAACTTATGTTTCAATAACGTGACACTCCTTTTGTTCAATTATTGGAAGGTTAATGTCTTGTCACGGTTTATAATCAGGGTTTTTACAGGTAAGGTGGGTCCCATGTTGCTTATCTTCTTCCTGTTGCTGCCGGTGAAGACTGAGTCAGCATGTTGTTGATTCTGCATCTTATTTTCCTATCAAATTTGTTGGTGGGTCTACTCAACATTTTCACAGAATAAATTCCCTTTGTTTCCAAGTCTGTCTACATGTAATTACAAAGCTTGCTGACTTATGAATCTTTACCTATTTGTATCCAAATAAATTTATATATAGTCCTTTCTTCACAAAGCAGAATTCTAATTTCCTTTCTTTCAAATTTTTTTTTAAAAAAAACCTTTACCTATTTGTAGATAAAAATAAAGAACATCATTTTAGAACCAAAAAAATTGAACATCCCATTCAATGGCGACAGCACATTTCCTTTCATCTGAATGTCACATGGAGGGAAAAAGAACAGTTGAATGGTGGACATTTAAAAAGATAGAAATAATGTGAAGTAGATAAACAGCATGGGAATAAGATATGCACCTCTTGCTGAATAAAATAATGCCCTCATTTCAATTTTTCATGCCCATTGAACTCCAGTGATAAGGGTGTCAGCTTTCCTATCTCTGTAAAATGATTGAGATTGCAACTCTCTCCCTGGTCCGTTTCCATGCTATGCTATCCTATCCCTTCCCCAGTGGATATTTTCATTACTCGTCACAGTAAAATGTCAACAATTAGACTTAGTCAGACTGCCTATATTAGTAAAAAAATTTCCCATCAATCAACCTTAACTGTTTATTCGAACAGTTGCTTTTAACTTTTGCAGTTAGAGTCGAGATTCAGAAAGCTAGCATCCAAAGACTAGATAAGCAAAGTCTGCCCCAAGTAAAACCTTTTCCATTGTCAAAGCTTATAGGTCGAAAAGGTTAATTAACAATGGTGTAAAGCTTTCTTCTTTTATTAAACTATATTGATTAATGTAATTTCTTATGGTATGATGACAACGTGGGACCTTGGAATTATCATTAAAGTAAGCATTAGATTACATCTGAGTTTAATCATGGAGGTAAATGATAAGATATTATAATCCTTGTGGTGTTAATTCCTTTGAGAAAGAGTCAAATGCTTGTTGGGTTGCAACTCTGGGCTACACGTTGGCAAGCAGAACTGTTTATTATTTTTTCCAACGGATCACATTTCCAAGTCTGCAAAAGGCAGGCTAAGCTGTCTTGGATTCATTTTTTTCGGTTGTATCGTGGCATTGCAGAAACAGCTATGGATTCAAGACCTCACTTCCATTTCAATGCAAGACGTATTAGGGTAAAAAAGAAATGATACCCCGAGTATTGACAACTGAGATCTTGTTCTAATCACTTGTATCTTCTTGTGTTCAATCATTGAACATAGATTTCTGATGAGATGATGCTTTACCCTTTTCTTTTTAAGTAATCCATGAATTCTACCCAACGAAATGTCACCAAAATTACATTATGATAGAGATGAAAATCTTATTACAATCGCATGCTTTTGCTTCATGCACACCAACAGAATTCGGCCTCACTGTCTACTGCTTTATCAAAACTTGACAATGGTAGTATTTGATAATAACATTTTCATAAGATCGGCCAGGATGGCCATGGACCATTAGCTTATGGGAAGACAACTTTTTCTTTGTACGTGGCATCCAATTCGATCATTCATATTGGACTGAAAACAGACATCAAAATTTGAAAGCCCAACTACTGTCGATTCATGTTCAACTGTCCTAGGAACCCAGAGTTCAGCTACCTGCTGGGTCCTGGCCTTCTTCCTGTAGACTACAGCAAACCTCATTTCTGGGCCTATCCTCATTTACTCCCTATTCAATGAAGGCTGGACCACATTGTATATAAATACACACTGCAATTCTTTCTCCCTGTTCTTTTTTATTTATTTATATATTCACTAACTTGGTTATACTAGAAAAACAACTTCCTGTTTCTTTATTTGCTTCAACTATATGTTAAAACTTGAATGTAAAATCTCAAAGAAAAAAAAAGAGAAGACTCCATCATAACTGTATTACCATCGTTCAATTATATTCAATTGATTTAGAGGACATTAAATTGTGTTGGATTTCGGATCAAGCTGGTTTGCGTGTTTGTCTGTTGAACCAAACCAAGTTTAAACGTTTAAGTTGTGGCAGTGAGTTTCTTACAACCAATTTAATTTTAGACATGATTTATTAATATGACATAAAATAAATAACATTTTAGTTTCATATAATTGTTATTGTGTCAACTTGTTATAATATGAAAATATTTATATCTTACATGGTTTAACATATCAACTTCGTATATAACATGTTTATATATATATATATATATTTCATTAGTAGTATTAATAAATTAATTTAAATTATTCAACACATTTAATATATTTAAACTCATTTTAAATATATAAAATAATTTATTATTTGTATTTAAATAAGTCAATCATGTCTAAAGGAATAAATTATGCTACATCTAAATAAATTATTTACATTGAAGTATACTAATCATGTGACATTGTATAATTGTATCATGTCAAAAATTTTAATATAATTAACTAATCATATCGTATTTGTGTAGACTTATTTCTAAATTAGACTTTTATCTTTACATGACAGAATGTAGCCATGCTAACACAATTTGTCAGCCCAAATGGATGATCTACTCTTAACTTAAACACTTTCAATGCTTAAATATAGAGTATTTAGTTATTTGATAATTCTATGGACCTTTTTTCTTGTACCAGAACATAAAATGACAGTACGACATAACTGTATAGATTTTATGATCTAAAGTATGAAATTATGGTACATGACAATATTTATTGAGTTATGTCAAAACTGGCATGATTCATAATGCTTTTCTGAATTTGAAAGAGATGCTTATTATTCGCCAAGGCCAAGCAGTAATTACAGTAGTTGTATTTATTTGAACTGGGTATCGCTCCAACCCCCAACTATCCAAACTACAGAGAACCAAATTTCTTCACAAAGAAATTATCCTAAAGACATAAAACTACAGGGAGCATTCACAAGTGCTCCAGGAAAAAAGAGAAGGTTTTGTAACATGGAAGGGCAAAGAGAGACAACAGTTTAACTAGTGCTTTCCTGCAATGCAGCAGCTTATGAGCCTATGAACCATGAAATGCTCGCTCAAAACTAGAGATAAAATCCAATAAGAAGCTTCCCAAAAAAAACCAAAGAGATATAACCAATAAAAATTTACTTCCTCTTGTCATTTCTCTGCTTTAAAGGCAGGATCGCAGCAGTGCAGCACAGAACTGATGACTCAAGAGTCAAGGGTTCTTCTTTCTTTTTTTTTTTTTCCCCCTCTTCTTGTAGTATTAAATTATGTTCACCTCCCAAAGTCCCTCTTCTTTTGATGAAGTACTGTTTCGTCTCCTAGCTTATCTAATTCTGTGAGACTAGGACAAGGTGTCACTGTTGTTTCATTTTGAGAGGGGAGCATTCAGACAGAGATCAAACCTTTGTTAGGTGTTTATGCCATGTGGGTCTCATTGCCAGTGTATTGGTCCATAGTTTCTAGTAGTCAAAGCTTTTTCCTTGTTTAGCTAACACAGTTCAACTCCTTCTCCAATCGCTTTCTCATGACACGTTTGAAGTAGTATATCAAAACTGATGCATCTGGGCAAACCCACTTGACCAAGTTACCGAAAAAAAATTGTTGCACATCCAAGAAAATTCTTCTAGCCAAGCACAAAATCAGTTATCTTCAACAAAACATGGATCTTGCAAGTCCCAAATACTTTCAAGCCCCACCTTTATTTCCATCTAATGGGGTAATGAGCTTAAAGATCCTACATTTGTTTTATTCTTATTTTTCTTGTTTTTGTGTCATAGCATTTGCTTTCATGTAATTCAGGAACCACCGCTGGAGACTAGTGCAAGCCTTTATGGAGAAAGCAAGGACAACCCATTTGCAGACACTTTCCCTGACCCACTTTGCGAGCTTAATCTCAAGGAGACATCCGACTTTGTCAAGTCATTCCCAATGGCAGCTTCAAACAACAAAACAGATAACAGAGGAGGGTTTTTGGATGTTTCAATTCAGAGAAGGAGAGGAGTGAACTCGGTCACTACACGGAGGAGAGTTTTGGAAGCTCCTTCTACACCAGGTAGGCCAGTTTTCAGCTTCAGTGGTGGCAATTTTGCCAGAAAGAGCTTTCCTTCAAAGTGGGAAGATGCAGAGAAATGGTTGATCAGCAGTTCTTGTCATGAGTCTCCTGCTCATACCATCAAGCCACCACCAGAGTCATCAAAGATGGCTAAACAATTTGATAACTTTAAGCAACAAACTCATGTATTTGCGGAGAAATCAAGGGTCATCGAGGAAAATGTTACTAAGGTTGTCACAAGCTTTAACCCAACCAGCGGCTTTGGTGGAATCCCAGGGTCTACAGAGGTCCTTCTAAAAGGTAGGATCTATCTACACTTCAAGTCTTCAACGTTAACCAAAGGTTTGGTCATCGTGATAGTCTTTTTCTTTCCCCTTTTGGCCTTTTAAAAGCTTCATAGCACTTTAAACTGTTCCACTGTTTGATTACTTTCCTTTTTGGATAAGAACAGAAATCCAGAATGGTTTTTCATTGCTTTGGATTAGAATTAACAATTAAGACTTCCTTTTTGTCTCTTTATCCCTCTCCATAAATGGGCTCTTAAATCCTGTGGTTTATTGTTTTAGTTGCCAGCTGAAAAATACCATTAGGCCCCAAGTGATGGCCATTTGTATATGCAAAACTTTATTTAGTTCAACTTTTCAACTGGACAGAGCAACTTTTTCTTCATCCAATGAAATTCTCCTTGTGATTAGAGCAATCCACCTTTGCGAAGTGAAATAGTTTCTTGAAAGCTTATGCTTAATATCACTCTTGTTTTAATTATAGTTCTCTTGATTGGAGGAGGAGTTGGTGTAAAAATTTGGTTGAAATTGAGCGACACTTACTTTTATCCTATTAATCATTGTAGATAAGTTCACGGATGAGGTAGAACCGATTTTACCAAATTTCAGATGCTCCGAGCCCTCAAGAGAGGGGTTTCTTTTCAGGAACTCAGTATGTGAAACCATGAAAGATGCAGGCACTGAAGTATTCCATGGGGTTAAACATAAAGATGTTGGGACAGAAATGACTCCTCTAGGAAGTTCCACAACTTCTAGATGCCACACACCATTCAAGAGCTCATCGCCTGCACGTCATAACACACCTGCTAATAGGTCTGGTCCATTGGCATCCGCCAATTCCAATAGTTCCAATAGCACGATTGACATTTCCCAGCTGCAAGAGTGTCATTTAGCTAAGCTACAACTTGGGACGCAATATGACTCCATCACATCGAATTGGAGCTCAAGGGAAGAGGAGGAGGAAGAAGTGTCAAAGAGCCTTAGACATTTCGAGACCGACAGCGCATGCCGGAAAAGTGTTTCTGATTCGAGAGCTGCGGCGTGGGAGGAAGAGGAAAGGACAAAATGCTGCCAGAGGTAATGAGGTAAAAGATTTGTAGCATTGTCTGTGTATTATGTGGCACATCAGTAATGACTGTTATTTGTATCACAGGTATCAGAGAGAGGAAGCAAAAATCCAAGCTTGGGTGAACCTCCAAAGTGCCAAAGCAGAAGCTCAATCAAGAAAGCTTGAGGTACTTTTCCAACCTTTTTTGGTCTTATGGGGTACTTTTTTAACTATTCATCATGCGTAGTGGTACTTCAAAGTTCAATGGTTGTCTTTGAGCCCAAATTTCTTTTGCTGCAATTTTCTCATTTACTGCTACGGGGAGAGCAAATTATGATGTAATTATCTCAAACTCCTATCATCCTCTTGTCTACCTAAAGGAATAAGTGCGCTCTGATGCTCTTGTCTTTGGTCATTTCGTGAACCCTTGTTTTCACTCTGGAAATTAAAATTTGAATCGAGGTTATCTGTGCCTTTTCCGGCTTATATTTTCTTTAAGTGAAAGTGCTATGTGAACTATATTTTGGAAGTGTTATCCTAACTAATTAATGGCTTATTCTTCCTCGAGCCACCCGCAACTCTACCACACCTTTCATCTCTTTCTTTCTTGACCAGTCCACCTCTGTAGGAGTGTCTTCCCTTAATTCAATATACTTCTTATCTGCATGCTTCTCTCCTTAATAATGTAGACAAAGGTTAAAAAGTGCCTATAAATACTTAATATTTATAATATAAAACATTACTTAATAATATATAAGAAGAAAGCTAAAAGTCATCAAGTCTCTATTTTTATACTGGTAGCGTGGAGGTTGTAACTTGTAAGCCCATGTGAAGATCTAGCATTTAGAAATTCGTGGGGAATTGGAATATTTACTTAAGCTGGGTTGTCTCCTGCTTGGAAGCTTGGTTCTTAGGTATTGTTCAATAAAATAAGCTCCAGAGTAATTAATAAAGCTTGCTGTCCTCGTTGCTCCAACTGTTGCCTCCTGTACTCCACCTGCATTGTGTAGTGCAAGAGATAAGAGGTAGTTCAAACCTGATTAGTTTATATGCTTTCCCGGTCAAACCTGATGGAAGATTAATCAGAAAAAAAAATTTACCAGGAATTACTAACATGGTCTAACGCCTTGTTAGTTTAGGGTCATGCAAGCATTTGACTATGATTTATTCTATTATGTGCCAATAATCTTTCAGTGGACTGACATTGTATATGGTATATTATGTTCTAAACTGAGCTTTTCAGGTGAAAATACAAAAGATGAGATCGAACTTAGAAGAGAAATTAATGAAGAGAATGGCAGTTGTTCATCGAAAAGCAGAGGAATGGAGAGCAGCGGCCCAGCAACAACACGCTGAGCAAACGCAAAGGGCAACCGAGCAGGCACAGAAGAATGAACCGAAACAACTCCCTTATTTCTGGCCACAGCTCGTGTGGTTGCTTCCCCTGCAATAACAGCCCCTAATGAAGATTCAAAACACAGATCATCTCCAATCCCCATTGTGTATCTCTTGATTCTAGGAAAACCCAAAACCTCAATTCTTGCAAAGCTATTGTGTAGAAAAATCACATCAATAGCAGTAGCAAGCATCAACAGGACTATTAAAAATGGGATCATCTTCTCAAAAAGGTTTCACCATTTTGATACAAGTGGTACAAATATTGCCTTGTCCAATGTCATGCTGTGCCAATAACATGACGATTGTTGTGCCAACAGCTTACCTCTATCTTCAAATTGTTTTGGTTGTGACCCACCACAAGGAACTCGTCTTTTTTTTTTCCTTTAACAAGCACAAGAAACTTTTCTGCTTGTGGACCAATTCTTTTATCAGTCGTTTGTAAATTCTTTCCCCTGGTAGCTCTTATAACGTACTGATTTTTGCACTGATGTAGACCTGAAGCTGGATATCATACTAGATTTTGGCTTCCATTCCTCTATGCGAATCTTTCAATCTAGGACCGGAGGTGACTTTATTGTTTACACTCTCTCTGGAGAAAGTGGGATTGAAGAAAATAATTGAGGAAGCAAGGCATGAAGAAAGACGGCCTCACCATAACCGAGTACAATGTGTTGAATAGGAAGATAGCAGTGATGTTTTTATAGGGGGCGAGGGGGGGAATGGAAAAGAAAATCTACGTTACGACTTAGTGTTGGCAAGTCTTCCATAGAAACAAAAAAAAAGATCCGTATAACCAACTAATCACCATCAAAAGGGATATGTCTACAAATTAATGGTTTTATATATATGTGTGCAGTCGCATCATAAAATTTTTAATGAATTAATGAGAAGTTCTTCATGAAAACGCTTCCCTAAAATCAAAGAGTCATGTCCTGTTTCATAATCTAGGTCCAATCATTGACAGAATTCACCATATATTGACAAGTGGCCATACCCTACCCCCGAACGACTAAGCCTGGTTTTCCACACCCTAGGAGAAAAAAACTGTTTATATCCACAAGATAAATATTTCTCCTCAAAAACTTTGAAGCTACCAACAACGACCATGTATTTGCCACATGCAGAAGACTAAGCACTGATAAAAGTTTTTAACAGTAGTAGCTTTTGTCTGTCTGGTTTCTGATCCATCAGCCTTCGTTTTCACTTTCTTTTGGCAGGCTAAGCCTTTTGCTCTGGATCAACCCCATCATTGTCGAGTATGCACTGCCACAATATCTCAGAAAAAGATATCGTAAATGTCTTTGAGTGCATTTTTTGCGGATCAAAAAGCTACTATGATGGCAATGATGGAAGAAAAACAAGCAAACAACCAGCTAAAAACACAAAACCAAAAGCGGGGGAAAAAAAAAGGAAAGAAATAGTAGTAGTAGTATTAGCAGTGAAAGAAGAAACAGAATAGACAAGACAGTTCTAGCTAGGATCTAGAGATCAGCTAACGGATGAGAAGGGTCCTTACATTGTTGGGTAGGTGTGGGCTTTTGCTGCCTGGTGCAAAGGACACAATGTCACAAGTTGCAACTTTATTCATTGTATTGCAATTTGACCCTTTGTCATTTGCTATTGTTGGGTAAACTTAATTGAGGTAATTATTTTAACAGTATATCCACTTTAATTTTGTGAAGTAAAATTGGAAATAGATGAGGCTCGAAGCTTAACTCCATGGATTGGATCATCTCTTAAAGAAATGGGGCTATGCTCATGAAAAAAAGATGTTGTCTAGACAATGCCGGCCCATTAACATATTTGGAGTGGACAGATCTCTGCTCAAAGAACATGGACCAACCCGGCCATTCCCATCTAGGCCAGCCCAAGCGAAACGCAGCCGTTTTAGCCTGGCTTGTTTTGCAAGAAGACTAGAAGACCTTTACAAAAAGCACGAACTTCTCTCTCTTCGCAAGGCTGCTCTCTCTCTCTCTCAGACACTCGGTGACAAAGTAAATCCTTCTCATTTTTCTTATTCAAGTTTATTTTCTTTTCATAAAGACACTAAATTTTTTGGGTTTTTCTTTAGGTTTTGTTAGATCTAATTCTAATCGATCCAACATGTTCCTGACCAGGTAACAAATCAAAGTATATTTGTTACAGCTTTTTCTTTTATTTTCTTTTTTTTTTAAGAAAAAATTGATGTTTGTTTATTGGACTGTGAAGGACTGAGTATGATCGTGGGGTGAACACATTTTCTCCCGAGGGTAGATTGTTCCAGGTGGAGTATGCAATTGAGGCTATCAAGGTATAAACTTGTTCTGTATGTTTCCTTGGAAAATCGGCTAACTCTAAAACTTCTCTCAAGGGAAAATTTTGTTTTCATTAGCATATTTACATCAATTAGTTTAACTCGCAGCTAGGTAGGTGTTAAGTCTTTTCTTTTGTTCAATTTTATTGGTGTGCTTTAATGTAGATGGGGGTTTTTGAAATGAACTGCAGCTGGGTTCAACTGCAATTGGGATAAAGACGAAAGACGGCGTCGTGCTGGCTGTTGAGAAGCGTATTACTTCACCACTGTTGGTCTGCACTCTTACTTGATTTGATGTTATTATATTGGCAAATTATTTCTGAAACTCGTATAGATACCCTTCTGTTGATTGTAATAGAATGCTTTGTTTTGTTGTGGCTTGTTTGCTAAAATGTAATATAAAAGGGTATGTTTTTAAGAAATGGAGTTACATGAAGAATAAAGGAAGTGATGGTTATGGTTAGCTGTTAGGGTCCTTAGGAGTCCCTTTTAACAAATTAACGAGTCTTCAGTTACAAAAATGTAAATGTCAGTTGGTGGGTTGGTGGTTAAGACGGAATTGGAAATCAGGGTCTGAGCAACAGAGTTTGCATTTGCTTATTCTTCCCACATTCCCAATTAATTGGTGGCTATGTGGTGTAATGTCTAAGACATGTCGAGTTTTTATTCAGCTTGCTAGTACATAATTTTTCTCAATATGCTACTCCATACTCTGATGATTCCCTTAGCTGCCACTTGTTTACTGTACACTTTAAACTACACCCATCTTGTTAAAAAACTACTGCAAATTCGGCATGTACCATGTGTGACATATACTATGTGAATTGTAGACTATTGTAGCTTCTTCCAGGCATCATAGCTCTGAAATCTCTTTCAGGAACCCAGCAGTGTTGAGAAGATTATGGAAATTGATGAGCATATAGGATGTGCCATGAGTGGGTTGATTGCTGATGCACGTACACTTGTCGAACATGCACGAGTTGAGACTCAGGTACCGTAGTTGTTAGTGCCATCATTCTTTGATATGTATTGATATGTACCTTTTATGCTGATTTCTTTCACATTCACACAGAACCACAGATTCTCATATGGTGAGCCAATGACTGTGGAGTCCACAACACAAGCACTTTGTGATTTGGCCCTTCGATTTGGTGAAGGAGATGAAGAATCCATGGTAAAATTTCATATCTTTTGTGTATATAGTTGTAGCAATTTCCATTTCTGTGTCTATGATGCTTTTTGCTTATCTTGGTAAGCAATAAAGGGAGGGCCACGCCCAGTATGACTCATGTAATCATGCAGTTAGTTTCTTTTGCCATCTGAGATAGGATTCTGCTATGGCATTACTTTTGAAGTGCTTACTCACTCTCAGTAACATTTTTCTTTGCAGTCTCGACCCTTTGGGGTGTCTCTTCTCATTGCTGGTCATGATGAGAATGGGCCAAGCCTGTAAGTATCAGATAATTTCACAATGTGTTGGCTACCTGTGGACATTTCTTTCAACGTATTAGAAAGATGACTTAAATCTTGGTACATTATAGCATTTTTAGGGCCAACATTTCTCCTAACCATGCCACTAGTCATGGAACTACCATTTAAGAAAGCCACCTGTTAGCAATTACTGTCACCACAATTAAAACAGTCCCCATTAACTGGTAGGCTGGTTTCGCAATATATGCATTTGCAAAGGATAATTCCATAGAGGTATTATTACAATGTACATACTTATTGTTGCCTGCTTGTTTTAGATTGTGAAAGTTAAGAAGTTAAAAGTGACAAGCCAAGAAAGCTAAATGTGTTGGGTACTTGATTTGGCTAAGCATAACCCAACCTAGTAATGCAAGATTGCATAGTCACACATTAAACACTGCATCCACTAAGTCAAGTTTGAAATAAGTCCATCCTTCTCTGTTACTTCTCAACTCAAAATTGTAGGCATATGATTATTGATCCATGTTGC